CACGCACTTCATCCATTCGCATTCGTTTACTTCTCTGGAAAGGGGTGCCTCATTGGCCTCCCCGTAGAAGTACAACTGTACACTGCTCCACGGCAAATGCTGTCATGCCATGGCGGCTATCGCCTACAGCCTGAAAGAAGCACGAGTTTACGAGGATATCATCGCATTATTACCAGAGAGAGCGACATGAAAGTTAAAATAATGGTTCACTCCGGATGTTCAATAATTCCGTTTTATTATGTTTGAAAACTTTTAGCCAATTGAAAAGTGGCAAGTGGTGTGGTTATCGCCCGCTGTTGGTCTATCGAAATTATTTTGAGGCGACTGGGCATCCAACCGTTCAGTAAGACGATGTGGAATAAGACTCACATCACAGACGCCACTCACGTCGATCATCAGCCTTTCTTCCAGTGATTTAAGCGAGGCGCAGGGAGAGGACAGGGACCCCTGGAGGGCGGGAGTTTCATAACGCCCTTAAACTCTTCCTGATATATTCAACACCCCATTGGCTAGTTATTGATTCTTACCTCGAAAACGGCTACATTGCGGAACAGGCACGCCCCAGTGGATGCTGTTCCGGCACGGCCGTAACGGGGTCGGAGATTCCTCATAGATGCGGCTGCAGGACTCTTGTGAACCAACAGGCGTTCTGCAGTCGGCACTTTCCGAACCCGTTGACGCCATTTAATTCCAGCGATGCTTAAGAGGTACTAAGATTCATGAACCTCATTTGGCATAACATCTTCCATTCTTTCGGTCTACGTCCATATGGCAGTATTTGCGGTCTGGTACTTTTGGCTATTGAGGAAAATAGATATATTTTTCGGAAAAATGTGCGAAAATGCGCTGACAATTTTGGAGATATTCAGATTTCTACACAGATGTTGTCAGATAATCTTAAGTTAGATTGAAATCAACTATTAGGCTCCGCTAGATTCCTCAAGACATTAAAAGCATCTTCTAAATTCGCGGATGCATGTTCGGAGACCGACCTGGTGCGCCCATTCTTGGGAACCCTTGGTTAGGCGCACTGACAGAATCGATCGCCCATCGATATTCACTCACAAACGTTTCCAAAACGACAGCGTCCAGGCAGCAGTCAACGAAAATCACATCGAACAGATTAACAGAACGGATTAACAGACATTGGCATATCCAACTCCAGCGATATCCACACCACTAGAACTGCGCACCCGGTACATGAGTGGGCGGACAAGACCGACTTCCGGCCTTTAAATTAAACGTGGATTTATTTTGGGTTTTCAAGGAGGTCAGCAGAATGAAAATGCCGAACATTGTGATCTGGTAGTTCTCGAGCTTTTTATTGCGGTGAGAAACTTCAACTCATGGTAGCGTGGGTGAAAAGTGAGAACATGCATCATGTGTAGCACATTTGAATCGCACAACTTGAGGGAATCTTCATTCGACTATTGATGCCACAGAATGATAAACGTAGCACAATAATATCTGCCCTTGTGATACTCATGTTATCACTGGGGCTGGAGCACTCTCGCGGCACCAAAATAATAATTATGGATTTTGACTCAACGCTGATCCACCTCTCAAATGGCCGTCATTTATCTAGTGGCATCATGCCACTATTGATGCCTGTATCACCCCCGAAACTGGCCACACAGGGGACCGTTCATCCGACCACCAATCACATAAGAACCTCTCATGAGAGATTCTACGATCATCATAGTGGGTACATCTCACAGTCCTATAGATCCATGAGTAGCAGAAATGCGAAAAAATAGCCCTTTTACAACGCTACACAGCACTGACAAGAACCATACGCTTCGGTATCAATTTCCCAACCTTCTATTGCTCGGCTGATTTAACACACCAGTTCCATTGCTCAGACGGAGCAATGATAAATGACACTATTCCGGAAAAAATATGTGGAGCAAATTTTCAGGCCACAGTCTCCAACACAAGCCGCAACACGGAATAACCACTGTCCAGGTGCCTCATATATCATGACTGCCTTGTCGGACACAAAAGCTTAATGAAAGGAAACATTATGTTCACGACTCGGCTTGGTTAGGCGCACTGACAGAATCGATCGCCCATCGATATTCACTCACAAACGTTTCCAAAACGACAGCGTCCAGGCAGCAGTCAACGAAAATCACATCGAACAGATTAACAGAACGGATTAACAGACATTGGCATATCCAACTCCAGCGATATCCACACCACTAGAACTGCGCACCCGGTACATGAGTGGGCGGACAAGACCGACTTCCGGCCTTTAAATTAAACGTGGATTTATTTTGGGTTTTCAAGGAGGTCAGCAGAATGAAAATGCCGAACATTGTGATCTGGTAGTTCTCGAGCTTTGGCGGACAAGACTTCCGGCCTTTAAATTAAACGTGGATTTATTTTGGGTTTTCAAGGAGGTCAGCAGAATGAAAATGCCGAACATTGTGAGTGATCAGTTCTCGAGCTTTTTATTGCGGTGAGAAACTTCAACTCATGGTAGCGTGGGTGAAAAGTGAGAACATGCATCATGTGTAGCACATTTGAATCGCACAACTTGAGGGAATCTTCATTCGACTATTGATGCCACAGAATGATAAACGTAGCACAATAATATCTGCCCTTGTGATACTCATGTTATCACTGGGGCTGGAGCACTCTCGCGGCACCAAAATAATAATTATGGATTTTGACTCAACGCTGATCCACCTCTCAAATGGCCGTCATTTATCTAGTGGCATCATGCCACTATTGATGCCTGTATCACCCCCGAAACTGGCCACACAGGGGACCGTTCATCCGACCACCAATCACATAAGAACCTCTCATGAGAGATTCTACGATCATCATAGTGGGTACATCTCACAGTCCTATAGATCCATGAGTAGCAGAAATGCGAAAAAATAGCCCTTTTACAACGCTACACAGCACTGACAAGAACCATACGCTTCGGTATCAATTTCCCAACCTTCTATTGCTCGGCTGATTTAACACACCAGTTCCATTGCTCAGACGGAGCAATGATAAATGACACTATTCCGGAAAAAATATGTGGAGCAAATTTTCAGGCCACAGTCTCCAACACAAGCCGCAACACGGAATAACCACTGTCCAGGTGCCTCATATATCATGACTGCCTTGTCGGACACAAAAGCTTAATGAAAGGAAACATTATGTTCACGACTCGGATGTCACTGAGGTTTCTCACCCGTCATTTAACAAAAACGAACCTGAAACATAAACATACGACGTATCAGTACTGCTCGCGTATTCGCCACGACATGTTATGCCGCGGAGTATTGTGTAGTAGACACGAAGCTGAATTTCGCGACTTCTGACAACACTCACATATTTCCCAAACGCCCTATGAAAGCTATTTTTGGTTTTTATCAAATTTAACAGCAATAAATTTCACCACCAAAAAGCCGTGGTATCGCAGAGAAGGTCATTTTTGCACACAGAGTTTTCGCTGCTGTTAATGATGATGGGAATGAGGGGACACTGTCTATTTCCCTCAGTAAATATACACCAATATTTAATGGGGTGATTGGTAAGTGCGACATAAACAAGCCGTCGCTCACATAAACAGACATGGCACAGAGTCATCATGGGAGTGAAGTAACCGCATCATCGTTTTTATCATGGCAAATCATGTGACGACTTGAGGCTGACGCGTAAGTCTATTCGATGTTGATTGATTCGCCGATCTCATAAGAGCGAAACCTATGGACAATCGGAGTTGGTAAGCTGATTTGGCGGTTGCAGTTGGAAAAGAGTTGCCAAAACCAAAGGATAAACGTTTCCTGTATTTCAGTGGCAAGTGTCATTCAGGGGGATTAATTATTCAATCCCATGAATGAGTCTCCGGCCACTTGATAACTACTTCAGGTAATGGTGACGGTTCACCTGCTTTTTTCGTCATATTCGCTTTCCGGCTCCACTGGTAATGTGTCGCTGTTTAAAAGTAGCTATAGAATAAAAAGTTTCGTTATTCTCCTCATCGAATGTACGGCTATCTGGATTTGTGTATTCATGAATATTGCCCGGTCTTCAAAAATGCAATATGGCAGACCGATGAATTTGCTTAGCAAGCGGTCCAACGCGTCCCTTATTTAGACTTTAGATCGCATTACTGTGCAATGTGTATTAGGAATTTGGCGTCCAAAACTGACAGTTCAAAATTTGGTATGAGGGCATCCATGGCAGGTCCTACTGCCTACTACCCCCACATTCATAGGAAAAATGAAACATATGCCTACGGAACCCGTTACCGGCCTCTTAGGTCTACAGCCACCACAATTTCGGGAATGGTTTCCGTGTGTACGTGACACTAGGGTCCCACGATTCTTGCGAAAAAGCCATAATCTAACATCATGTGTAGCACATTTGAATCGCACAACTTGAGGGAATCTTCATTCGACTATTGATGCCACAGAATGATAAACGTAGCACAATAATATCTGCCCTTGTGATACTCATGTTATCACTGGGGCTGGAGCACTCTCGCGGCACCAAAATAATAATTATGGATTTTGACTCAACGCTGATCCACCTCTCAAATGGCCGTCATTTATCTAGTGGCATCATGCCACTATTGATGCCTGTATCACCCCCGAAACTGGCCACACAGGGGACCGTTCATCCGACCACCAATCACATAAGAACCTCTCATGAGAGATTCTACGATCATCATAGTGGGTACATCTCACAGTCCTATAGATCCATAACTAGCAGAAATGCGAAAAAATAGCCCTTTTACAACGCTACACAGCACTGACAAGAACCATACGCTTCGGTATCAATTTCCCAACCTTCTATTGCTCGGCTGATTTAACACACCAGTTCCATTGCTCAGACGGAGCAATGATAAATGACACTATTCCGGAAAAAATATGTGGAGCAAATTTTCAGGCCACAGTCTCCAACACAAGCCGCAACACGGAATAACCACTGTCCAGGTGCCTCATATATCATGACTGCCTTGTCGGATCGGACACAATAATGAAAGGAAACATTATGTTCACGACTCGGATGTCACTGAGGTTTCTCACCCGTCATTTAACAAAAACGAACCTGAAACATAAACATACGACGTATCAGTACTGCTCGCGTATTCGCCACGACATGTTATGCCGCAGAGTATTGTGTAGTAGACACGAAGCTGAATTTCGCGACTTCTGACAACACTCACATATTTCCCAAACGCCCTATGAAAGCTATTTTTGGTTTTTATCAAATTTAACAGCAATAAATTTCACCACCAAAAAGCCGTGGTATCGCAGAGAAGGTCATTTTTGCACACAGAGTTTTCGCTGCTGTTAATGATGATGGGAATGAGGGGACACTGTCTATTTCCCTCAGTAAATATACACCAATATTTAATGGGGTGATTGGTAAGTGCGACATAAACAAGCCGTCGCTCACATAAACAGACATGGCACAGAGTCATCATGGGAGTGAAGTAACCGCATCATCGTTTTTATCATGGCAAATCATGTGACGACTTGAGGCTGACGCGTAAGTCTATTCGATGTTGATTGATTCGCCGATCTCATAAGAGCGAAACCTATGGACAATCGGAGTTGGTAAGCTGATTTGGCGGTTGCAGTTGGAAAAGAGTTGCCAAAACCAAAGGATAAACGTTTCCTGTATTTCAGTGGCAAGTGTCATTCAGGGGGATTAATTATTCAATCCCATGAATGAGTCTCCGGCCACTTGATAACTACTTCAGGTAATGGTGACGGTTCACCTGCTTTTTTCGTCATATTCGCTTTCCGGCTCCACTGGTAATGTGTCGCTGTTTAAAAGTAGCTATAGAATAAAAAGTTTCGTTATTCTCCTCATCGAATGTACGGCTATCTGGATTTGTGTATTCATGAATATTGCCCGGTCTTCAAAAATGCAATATGGCAGACCGATGAATTTGCTTAGCAAGCGGTCCAACGCGTCCCTTATTTAGACTTTAGATCGCATTACTGTGCAATGTGTATTAGGAATTTGGCGTCCAAAACTGACAGTTCAAAATTTGGTATGAGGGCATCCATGGCAGGTCCTACTGCCTACTACCCCCACATTCATAGGAAAAATGAAACATATGCCTACGGAACCCGTTACCGGCCTCTTAGGTCTACAGCCACCACAATTTCGGGAATGGTTTCCGTGTGTACGTGACACTAGGGTCCCACGATTCTTGCGAAAAAGCCATAATCTAATCGTTCCATAGGTTATCTTCGGGCAAATCAATTTTGCTTCCTCCTTTCACGAATCTCAAATATAGTCGAATATTTTTCTGGAAAGAATGAATACGTAACTACATAAGATGCCGCTCCAATCAAATTCTTTTTATTGTGACATTTTTATGCATGCTGTCCTAATATTGTCATTTTTGCCCAAGGAATGGTGAGTACATTAGCTCTGCGAAATGCAGACTGTGCTCTTCTTGAGCGGCAAACTAGGAGGTCAACTCTGTAAATCAAACAAATCACTAAAATCTGATAACACACACTACGTCATTCCGGAAACTGCAGATAAAATGATGAAATTGTGCGTTTCAGTCGAAACATAACGGGCTTTAGTCGGTAACAATCAAACTCACATGAGCGGATCACATTTTCATGATGGCCAACATACCCTGATGAACATTTCAGTAGTTTTTCAGGCGGGTATCACCGCTCGATTGTATGTAAAGTGGCTGGGTCAGTAAGGAACAAATACCCAAAATCCTCTCGTCAATGTTCGTACGATTAGAGTTTCCCATGTCTTCTAATATCATTACTTGCAACTTCCGACAATTTTATACGGCTACAGGATGTGTGTAGAGGTGTGTGGAGGTCTACGCTACGCGATTTCTTGTGTTTTGCAGGCAGATGAGAAACGCAATTTGTCACCTTTGGCTCGCAGTTACCAAGTGGGGTTTGGCACATTTGGGCCACCCCCCGCGTGAGATCAACCTTTACCCGTTTCTGCAAAGTTGGCCTATACTTCGCTCTGTCTTGGCTTTGCCACGTTGAATGACTACTTTAAGGGGGCGCAGCGATTCTGTACTGTGGAATAGTCACTCTGGAGAATCAGGGTGAGTCATTTCACATTCGATCAGCTGACTCATTAAACCCGGCAAACTAGGCGTACTACTTTATGCAGAGGACCAATAGCTGGAGCGGAGCATTCAGAGAGATAAACAAATTAATAATGAAAATTAACAAACTAGAAATTCCTTGGAGTAGGGTCAGCAGGAGCAATAAACTGGAATCGAGAGAGGTCAGGACCAGGGATCACTCCATCACCGACCAAAGAATGGGGAAGTGAGAGACCAAACTCCAAAATCACGTGGTCATCCAGTAAACATTACGCGATCAACTAAACCCTTGGCGCAAGGGGCATATCCCATTAGGAAGAAAACTCGTGATCCGTCGCCATTCGGTAGCGCAGCCGTATCGCAATTATGTAGTGAGAGCTTTATCGCATCGCAACCTAGATGTTATTACTCAAATGATCACACCATTGGTGAATGTTTTGCGTCATTCCTAGAATATAGTACGATATGTCACGCTTATTGGAACGCCGTTTGTGAACCTTCACATTTATGTAGCAACGATTTTCACCGTGCTGTATAAAATATTAGTCCACTAATCACGTGATGCAAACTTGACACTGATTAGCTTACTACCGCTTGAAGAATGTCACATCATGCCTTTAAAAACGTACGATTGTTGTACGGGTAGTCATTCGCCGTTTTAAACTGAGCGTTCAAATAACTTCGTTCATTTCATCATGTGTTGACTACTTATTTCAATCATTGGTTTTCGATGAGACATGGAACAAAATATTTTCCCCAAATCAGCGCGTTGCTGACCCAGTTGGGATAATTTTCATTAAGATACAAATTACTCACCACACTATGAATAATGCTAGGCCTTCATGGTTATCGTGCCCGAAACCGCAGAAAACCAGCAACCCACCACATACTCGCACTCGCATGGTAATTTAGCGTTGATACAAGACTGCAGTGATGAAGGTTTCACTTGCAATGGTCAGTGTATCGCAATCCATTCAGTAGACATCACACATTACTCACGAGGTTCATGAGCATTCCTAATGAACGGGCGACCTGTTTTGCGTTCATCAGCATGGAAATCTAAGAAGAAAGAAACTCCTTGGATTCGGGTCAACAGTAGCACTAAATTGAAAGCAGGGGAGGTCAGGGACCGGGTTCACTCCATCAGCGATCACTGAATGAAAAAGTGGCAGACCAAGCTCACGTGGTCGTCGGTTTTTAGGACATAATATTACTGACGAAATGAAGAAACCGATCGCAGAATATCCAGGCGTGATCTAAAGTCATCCCCAAACAAGCATCAGGTTGATTAACACACGTAGTCAACGCACAAGTGCCGAACTATCGCGAAGCTCTTCCATTCGCCCCTGCGAGGGCCTGATGATTATTCCAGGATTGATGAAGGAAATTTGAAAAGCAGCTCGCTAACTCAGCGTTCGAACCATCAAACTTAAACGCTGTCTAAGCTAACAAGGTCCTCTTTGCTGGTGCAATTGAGTGCGCGCTGAATTTCTCTCCCCGACTTGGAACGAAACGTTTGACAACCGGTTGCCAAGCTCGGTGAACATATCAATGGCCATCTGACCAACCCTTAATAAACACACTCAGGCTACCAATATTTCGACACATTGATTGATGTGTAGTATTTAACGAGCCATTCTTTCCAACAATAGCCATCGCAGGTCAATCTACGGCACATCCGGGCGAAGCGCTATACGTGAACTCGGGCTCGAACCTTTGTGTCCCTGAAAGGAAAAACGTACACAATTTTGCTGATCTTGATCGAAATATCCCACTAAACCTCGGACGAAATCATGACAGTATTGAGTTATTCTCCGAAAATGTTCCGAACGTCAGTCAGCAAGTGTCCGTACCAGAAACGCGAGGATACTACCTTCGAGGAATTTAATAACAGGGATTTCGTAATATCATTGAAGAAAACGTATGCTTTGAAGTTTCTACAGTAATCTATAGCTGCTCCATGCGTGTTGCGAACGTTGCTCGTCCAGTGGATTGCGCAATCAAACTTAGTGGCACGCAGTTCCCCACATTGCTGTACAAATCGCTGAACATTGTAAATACGGTTGTCAGTGTGAAGTTTTATTACATGTTGAGAAATATGGTTTCAAACAACAGAATTGAAGTTCACAACTGATTACCAGAATGCCAACATTTTGTAAGTTGATTAGTTTAGGGCAATGCGGTTATATCTTAATTAACTTATTGTTAATTTCCCCAGAGAATCAACGGTGAACAAGGGTAAATTTCCCTGTTTTCTGACTACTCATGAGTAACATGACTTACACCTGTTTATTATGACACCGTTTCGTTTCCCTGCTGCTCGTTTCCTCCCCGTTTCGTTCCTACTTAAGATCTGTTTATCCCTCAGTAACTGGTGTCAATATTTTGTTTCCCGTCTGTCATTGCCTGCAAGTTCGTCTGGATTGCACCTATTTTCGAGCGCCCATTCCGATGGAACAGTGGGCCGAACCCGGATCCTCCGGACGGCGGGGGAACTCGCTACCGACTACACCGACATGGCGCCCGGGGCGGCTGATTATTTTGTATTACCCAGGTATCGCGCCTGCCAAATAACCCTTGCTGAGCTTTGTTTAAAACGGACGAAGCCGCGCAATCTGACCTGTCACGCGGCACGAGCGGCTGTGTCGACGCCGAACGTCACATCCCGAACGTACTGACTCCTGCGCGTACCGTCAGACTGCCCCTATATGTATGTTTGTACATCGTTTGGTACTTACTTGTTGTTGCCCGTATAAAAATCCGTCTTGCGACAGTGACTATTCCCCGCTCCTGCTTATTGCGTCATTGCTGATTGTACGTTTGCTTAATTCATGATGTTCACTAATCCGTTTGTCTGTAGAACCAGTTCCTGTCAGTCCTCAATATATCATCTGCTGCCCCACGTCTGTCTGCTCCTATTGACTACTGGCTACGAACTGCGTATAATCAAATGCCGCAATCGCCCTTTGAGATCCGTACCCCGGATCTTACAAAGTTAATCAACATTATCACAGTTAATCAACATTCTCGCAGTTAATCAACAGTCGCAAAGTTTATCAATATTGCACAGTTTATCAGTGACTCAAACTCAACCGACGTTTCGCCATGTCTGACGAACATTTCGCCGACCTTTCTCCACTCGATTACTTCTCCCCGTCGCCCGAGTGAGAACTCCCTATCGATCTGTATGGCTGGAAATAGAGATGGTCAAAGTCCGTCCGGAAATAGCTAGCCTTCAGTGTTCGGCTACCGCTACAGGCAGAAGACTCCAAAACTCCGTTGGACCTCCCTCCTTTCCAGTTGACCAGGAAGGGTCCGTCAGCCCCAAATATCATGCGACGCCTCCAAAGAATCCGCAGATGGCGTCCACATCGTATTCACATCTTCCGGAACTGCTTAACCTCTGTATGGGTATGCCTCAGAAAAAGATACCAAAGTTCAACGGTAACCCTCTGAATCACTAGAAGTTTCTGAGGAGTTCCACCAGTGGGGTCGCCCAATACGTTACGGATCCCGCAAATCGCCTAGCCTTCTTGATCGATGCATATGAATGTAAGGCACGAGAAGCAATCGATCTCTGTATAATACTTGAGCCGGAACACGGATACTCAGAAGCCTGGAAGATATTTGTTCACAGGTTCGGCAACTCCTCGGTGATCGCAAGACAATACATTGAGTCTGTCACCATTGGGCCACCCATCAGGCCGAACGACGCCAGCTCACCACTCAGGCTAGCCGACACAATGAAAGCCTGTTGGTTGGTACTCTCCCAACTGAACTTCTCATCGGAGCTTAACACTAGAACAATCTTTGACGCTCTTATTAGCCGTCTTCCGACTGTTATCCAGTCACGGTGGTTTGATCGGGCCTCGAAAATCCTCAGGAAGAACCGTGAACCCAGTTTTGTCGATCTGACTGATTATGTTCTAGACAGAGCAAATGCGTTATCAGTTAGAGAGAATTATTTGCCGAATGTTTCGCAGCCGAGCACCAGTAGGTCAGAACGCTTCCGTAGCTTTGTGACGGCACCATCGCCAAGCCTAGCCACACTTGTGACATCCGCGGCTAATAAGCCTGAAAATGGATAACATAACACGACGATGTCCCGTCCGTGCGGTCACTGTGGCAAAATGCACTACCTCAATCAATGTTTGCAATTCATTCGCTTGAACGCTGATTCTCGTGCAACGTTCATTCACTCAGCTGCACTTTCGAGCTTTGCACCAA